CCCCCGCCGCCCATACCCTCTCCTGCAGCTCAGGGGGGACAGTGGGAGCTGGTGCTGGGGGTGGAAGGGAGAGCCATCTTAAAAGCCAGATCCCGCCCAAGCACCAGCTCCCACAGTAAAATAAGCAGATCTGGCAAACAACCACTCATTCTGTTTGATCAGGCTGTTATTAAGAGTTAAATTCTTCAGCAATTGAAAGTAAACAAAAAACTGTCCTTTGGCATTTACAAAGAGTGCACACTCCTCTGTGGCAAAGGGAAAGCTTGCCAAAGTCCCTACAGAAAAGCATTCACTTTGGGACTCCCAGACAACAAGGCCACATTTGTTATAGGTTATAGCTGCTGGCAGGATGGGGGATGTTTCTAATTTAATTAGTATTTCAGAAATACAAGAATATATGAGCGAATACATAGAAATGTTAAGTGACAAAAGGGAGAATGCATACTCCTGAAAAGGTAGAACAGATTTTTGGGATCATAATGCTTTCACATTTCTGGCTGAAAGATTACAAGAGCAATGAGGCTTCCCAACCCAATCCAGACTACATAAATGCAAAGGAGTCAAATTAAATCCAGGTACAGCTTTTCCAAATTCAAGATCCACATCTTTCAAGGCTCTTCTGCAGATGGTTAGAGGATGCATTAAGTGAAATAAAAGGATATAGGAAAGTGAGAAATAGCACTTTCACAGATGGGGAATTATTAAACTGGAAGTCAGCCAGGATTTGAATGCAGGAACCCTCTACTAACCCAGCACATCATTCAAACTAGCCTATAAAACAGTGGTTCTCAAAGTGTGGTCCACAACCATCTTGCAGATGGGCTGCGGGCTCCAGGCATTCCCCCCTCCTCACAGCCCTGTGTCCCTTCTCTCCCACAAGGCTGAAGCTCTAGCACCAACTTCCCACTGCTGGGAGCAAGGCAGAGCAGGAAGCGGCTCACCCGGAGGCTTTCCCCACTGCTCCCATTGGCAATTCATCCAACACAAGCTTGGCAACGGATGGACCTGGCACCCTTGGAACAAAGGATAAATAAGGGGGACCCAGATTGTAGGGAGGCGGGGGGCTCCTCCAGTGCTCAATGGCCAAACCACATGAGGCCCTTTCAAAGTTAAAATGTGGCTCTAGGAGTGCCCCGTGATCCCCCATTCTTCAATAGCCACACTTATGAGGGATGGGAAGCTCAGGAATTCCACCAGGCAGCAGAATGGTAAGGTACAGGCTTATACCCATGATAGAATCATGGAATACTAGAACTGGAAGGGACCTCAAGAAGTCATCAAGTCCAGTCCCCTGCCCTCACAACAGGACCAAGCACCATCTAAGACATCTCTCAGGGATGTTCAACCTGCTCTTAAATATCTCCAATGATGGAGAGGTCACAACCTCTCTAGGCAATTTATTCCAGTGCTTAACCACCCTGACATTAAAGAAGTTTTTCCTCATGTCCAACCTAGAGCTTCTTTGCTGCAATTTAAGCCCATTGCTTCTTGTCCTATCATCAGAAGAAATTAAGGAGAAATTCTTTTCCTCCTCATTCTTGTAACAGCCTTTTAGGTTCTTGAAAGCTCCCATCATGTCCCCTCTCAGTCTTCTCTTTTCCAAACTAAACACCCCCAAGTCTTTCCTCACAGGTCATGTTTTCTAGAACTCTAATAATTTTTTTTGCTCTTTTCTGGACCTTCTCCAATTTCTCCACATCTGTCTTGAAACATGGTACCCAGAACTGGACACAATACTCCACTTGAGGCCTAATAAGAGTAGAGCAGAAGAATGACTTCTTGTGTCTTGCTCACAACACTCCTGTTAACATACCCCCCGCACACATGCCCCAGGTCTCAAACATCTAGAGATTGTTGTATGTAGCTTGGAGGGTAAAAAATGAGGATGTTAAGGATGTTTCCGCCTCTCCCCCTCTATCTGATAGAGGCAGCAAGAGGGATGGGGGGGAAGAGAAGAGAGTACTTCAACGTGGCAGCACCGCACAGCTGAGCCTAGGATCAGCTGTGCAGCACTGCTCCTTTGAAACACTGCCTTGGCATTTCAAAGCGGCAGTGTCACGTAGAGCCCCGGGTCAGCTGTGAGGCATTTCAAATTGGCAGTGAAGCATGGAGCCCCCGGGGTCAGCGGACTCACTGACCCAGGGCTTCCTGAGGGTGCTTCCACTTTGAAATGCACAAAAGCCCCAGCTGGGGACTCTTGTACATTTCAAAGATTGTCCACATGCAGCCCAGAGTCAGTGGGACTTCCCGCTGGCACTGGACTGCATGCGGAGTTCCACATTCTTCCTCTGAAATGTACAAGAGCCCCAGGAATGCAGAAGTGCCTATCGATTAGTCGATGGAAATTCTATCTACTCGACTAGTAAATTAATCGCTAGTTAACATCCTTAGCCAAAAAGTGTCCTCACAGGACATATCTAACTGCTCTGTGCATCCTGTAATTTCTGCCAAGATCAAAGAGATGCTTTTTATACAAGTCAGGAGGTAGTGACATTAGGTGTGGCTTCTGATTAGGCCGGAAGGGAGCAGATTGCAGGCTCAAAGGATCTCAGGAAGTGAGGTAGCTGGCATGAATCACCATTTCACACACACCCAAGTTCTACTCATGCCTGGCAGCTATAGATCTGATTGGAATGAGAAAACTTCCAAACATCAAATCATAAGACAGACTTGCATGAATCAGCTGGTGGTTGAAGTGTATTTGGGAGCATGCTCCACTGATACTTCTAGATCAGCAAGTCAAGGCATCCTCTTCTAAAGAATGCAAAGATGAACAATTTACTTGGTCTGTGGATTTGCTTTCACCAACTGACAATGTAGTTTAAGAAATTTATAGCTACTTTTTGGATAGCCAGAGGCCCAGCTACATTTTGGGTAAGAAACCACAGGAGCACTAAACTAACAGGATGTGCTTGGGAAAGGTTCAGACCACTAGAAGTTAATGAATACTTGCTTGCCAGTGTTCTTGATCAGAGAGAGCATCAAATCAAAGTCTGCTAGCTCTACCATGCTTCAGCTCTAGAGAGGCAGTTTTTCTGGAGAATACATCGAGTGAT